TGGTGAATCTTTGAAAGACGCAATGCCCAGACTGCAACCCCAAACCCATTTATTTATTTGTTTATTTACTCATAGTGATCCTACTGTTTTCAGCTTCCCATGTGCTGGGATTACAGGTATGCACCACCACACCCAGCCTCCACCCCCCACCCCCATTCCCCTACCTCCCCGACCCACCCCATCTCAGTGCACCCGGGGGGGACAGGCCTGCACAGCAAGAACCCAGATCGCTGTGCTCTGCCTAAGCAGGCACTTTAGTCCACTGAGGTATCTGGCCAGCCCTCCATTTATTTAATGCAAAGAGCCAAAACTGCCCCTATGTGCACGGCTATCTGATGCTTGGTTGCTGGGGTGACTTGGTCCATGTGCTCACAGGAGGCTGTGCGTGGCCACTGCAGCACGCATGCGTAGGTTCGCTACAACCTACCCAGTGTGTCCTTGTGATTCTGCCTGGATAAAAGGAGCCAAAGCCTGGCATGATGAAAGCATGTGAGGGATGGGCAGGAAGAGCCGCTCCACCACCATTGCTGAGTCCCAAGGGAGCAGCACAGAAGGTCCTCTGATTCATTCTCTTTACCCTGGAAGGCAGAGTTGGATTTTGCACATGGAAGAACTGATGGTTAAGACATGTCACATATTTGCCCCCCAACATCACTCAGCTGCCAGAACCATGGAGCGTGTGCTGCACTTACCTAACAGTCAAGCTCTGCTCTTCTCAACTCCGAGACAGAAAAGGAAGTAGTTACAAAGGCTCTAAACTCAGGGTAAGTCAAGATAGCAGGTGAAGCCAGATGCATACCTATACTATCAGCACTGTAGAAAGCTAAGGTAAGGGGCTGGGGAGATGGCTCAGTAGAATAAGTGCTTCTCTGGCAAGTGCAAGGGCCTGAGTTCAAACCCCGGTTCCGCCAAAAAAAAGAAAGAGAGCTAAGGTAAAAGGATAGCAAACTTGAGCCCAGCCTGGGCAACTACGCAAAACCTTGTCTCAAAGATAGGTAGATAGATGATAGATAGATAGATAGATAGATAGATAGATAGATAGATAAATGATAGACACATACATACATACATTTTAAAAGGCTAGGATGTAGCTGAATATGAAGGCCTGGGGTTCAATCCTTTGTACTCCAAAATGAATGAATGAATGAATGAATGAATGAGACAGAGATGTAGGGGTGTACTTCAGTCCAAAGACCTTGGGTTTGGGACTGGTGAGATGGCTCAGTGGTCTAAAGCACCTACTTAGAACAAGCTTAGCAAAGCCCCGGGACCATGGTTCAATCCCCCAGCACCACATGCCAGCCAGCCCGCCCCCTGGTGGGCTGAGCTGGCCACACACACACACACACACATACATAAATAAATAAATAAAAATTTTAAAAAAAAAAAAAGACCTTGGGTTAAACCCTCAGTACTTACTGCATGGAAGGAAAGAAAAAGGCAGGTAAGAAAAAAGTATAGTCTAATTCTCCAGCTGAACCACTTGCAAATTTACCACACCTCAAAAAACAAAGAAGAGCTTTGTTTTAAATGGTTTTATTAAAAATTGTACCAATTGATAGGGGACTATATACACACATACACAAATATGCAGGTGAAGAACATAAAGCCATACACTCTGTACAGGATACAAAGGAACTGGTCCCCAATCCCCCTCCCTGCCCCAGAGGCAGAGTGCCCAGACACCAGGGCAACCAACCTGGTGATTAATGAAATGCTACATCTCACTGGGTCTCTCCCAAGGACCCAGGGAGGGGTTGGGGGAGGCACTGGCCACCTACACAGAGGGGCCTGCAAGTTTTGAGCACCTAGGCCAAGGCTGAGCATTTATGGAACCTGGTCCTTCAAGGCTGCAGCCCACAGTGACCCCTGGAAGCTTTGAAAATTCATGAGTTAAGTCCTTTTTGCCAAATCAGCTAAGATGGCTTCCTTGGATCCTTGTCATCACAGAGACCCTGCAGAACCCTGAGACTGGAACCTTCCACAGCTGTGGGCTCTCCTGACATCCACCTCCCCATCACATCCCCAGGACAGTCAAGCTCTCTTTGGGACAGCGTGCTTCTTACTGATGGACAGTCACAATGGCCTCACAGCCACCTTCCTGGAAAGCTGTAGGACGGGAGCCCAGACTGGACCATCTCACACAAGCCTCTCCCTGCCTTGCCCAGGCTCAGGCCAGAGAAAGTAGATGCTCAGCCAGGCCCTGGACACAGCCCCACTCCCCTGGGAGCTGAGCGGGTCTCTGGGAGATCTTTCTGCACTTCTGACTCAGCCTGGGAAGGGCGGGGTAGCTGCCACGTAGCCAGACTCCAAACCAGGCAAGACAGGGGCTATGAACTCCAGCCTCACCACCAGGAGCCAGCGTCCAGCCTGGTGTTCTTGATGGGCTAGGACTGTGACTCCTAGGAAACCCTGGGGGTTCTAAATTAGAAACTTGCCTGGTTCGGACCCTGCATAGCAGGCTTCTTTTCCTCCAGGGCATCCTGCCACTGAGGCCAGCTCTCTCCTTCCCACACCCCTTAGCACTCAACAAAAGCCCCACTTGCCTCAGCTGGTTAGAGAGGTCAGGACTCAGGTCAGACTCTCCTTCCCTCTCAATCTGAGTCTCCACCTCCTGACCAGAGCTGGGCTCCAGGGGTGGGGGATGAAAGCAGGGGGAGGGGCACCTCCTGAGGCTGGACTTGGGGAATGGAAGGGGCTAGTCCAGATCACTGGGCCAATTAAAACAGCCAGCCAGGGGAACGTGCTCTCTTGGGGCTCTGCTGCCCATTACTTCCTTCCTCACATGCTAGGCCAGCAATTTTCCACTATCCTTGGCCCACTTTGGGGACTGTATTTTTTAGGAGGGCGCTTACATTTTGCCCTAGTTTGCCTAAGACATTGAATTAATCCTAGCGTGGCACCGTGTGGAGACAGAGCCATGAGATCAACTTCCACCTGGCCGCAAGCTGGACATTCTGCTGGGCTGTTCTCAGGAGAGGGCACTGGACAGCCAGCCTGGGTTGCCAGGCGCTCTGAAGCCAACAACTTTGCCTCCGATCCCAGGTCTGGACCATCTTCTCCCTCAGCGCTGGTGGGAAGACCACTGAGAGGGTTAAAGTGGCTGGTGTAAACAATCATGTTCCTAGTTTTGGGGCCACCACTCAGGCATCCACCAGCAGCCTGCGTATCACAGCCAGGAGCCAGGGGAGGGAAAATCCCCTGCATCCTCCCAATCACCGCACAGCATGGAGACAAGGAGGAAGGCTGGGATTCACAAGGGTCAGTGTGTCCCAGAGCCACTTTTTATATCCAGGCCCCGAGCTCCTTCTCCTTGTAAGCAGGAACCCATCTTCTTAGCAGGCAAACCACGCTATACACCCTGAGAAAATGCTTCTGGCTGAGAGGAGGTAAATATCTCCAATCATCTGAGCAGAACGAAACAAAGGCTTTTGCGCAATGTGCAGTCCCTCTCAGAACCACACCGTGAGCATATATGGCACCCTTGTAGGAATAAGGAAAGGCACCCTAACTGAGCAGAGGCAGTCTCACTTCAGTGCATGCAGAGCAGAGCAGAAAACAGGCTGGATTTCAGCCTCCTTTAGCTCCCTCTGCAGGTCTCCTCGTGCAGTGAACAACCTGCCCAACTACATCCAGAAAATCACTTGTCCTTCGCCAGTACTGAAGACTGCAGAACTGGAGGAGCTTAGATTTGTTCAGAGTTGGAAGTCTCCTCTGAACGCCTTTGATTTTCTTGAGTAGACCCAGGGTCTTCTCTGCCTTTCTTTGGGCTTTGCTTTAACTTTAGCACCAATGTTGTCTTTTCTTACATATGTAAAAATTGTAACTTAACTTCTAGGTGTCTGGCTAGCGGATTCCTTGGCTTTCTGCTATTGGAACTGCCAGACCAGCTGCTTTGAATTCCCTCCACAAGTGCCACAGCAGAGGGAAGAGTAAGCTTCGGAGGCAGCTGGGATCCTGCTGAGCTCCAGAGCGTGCCCTTCTGCCCGGCTGGAAATGGAGGAACACAGGCAATGTGTGCCCAGCTTTGACAGCCCCACAATCTAATCACTGTCTATTACTCTAAAAGTCACTTTTCCACTGGCAAAGCCATGGTCCTGGCTTCTTCCCATATCCCAGCAGGTATGAACAAAGGAATGGGGGATTCAGGAGGGAAGAGGTATGTTTTCCAAAGATACCAAGGGTCTGGGGCCATGGGGAGCAGACTCGCATCAGTGAAGTGCCCACCACATTTCCCAGCCCTGCTACAAGCCTGCCCCTTTATGTCTTCAGCATGATAGCGGGGTAGGATGCAGACCACGTGGCTGGGATTTTTGGAAACAGAGCTGACAAAGGCACAAACTGCTGGGTGCAGCATGGTGACTGGCTTTGGCTCATATGTGGCTGACAGGCAGGCAGCAGAAGTGGCGATGGTTCTACAGCAAAGGACCCATCCTGGGGCTTCCACATGGGTGCAGATCAGATGTGAGGCCTGTCCAGACGCCTGGTCCATGAGTGGTACTTTTGAGGGTCCCTGGAGAAACCTGACCCTCCCTGAGGTCTGCTGGAGGTGACAGGGTCTGGGCAAGAATCCCTGAGCCCTTGGGGGTGGGCACTGTGGAACTGGCTGGCTGGCCTGCCTGCACTTCCAGCCTTGGTTGGGAAGCCCTTGGCCCAGATCCTGGCAGGTTGAAACAGGTGACCTTAAGGGCCATGGCCCTAGGGCACTGGGAAGACTGATAGGTCTGGTGGAACAAGAGGGTCTAATCCAGTCTCCTATTTCTTAACTGAGTTCCTGTAGAAAAACTTTAGTTCACTTCCTGGACCACATTGGCTGACTGAAGAATCCATTTGCCAGGGCCCTGGAGAATTTCTGCACTGAAGACTGGCGTCAGCCTCTCTTTCAACAGTGTTTGACAAAGGCCCCCTCTCTGGTTAAGGCCCTGGACAGTGGAAAGAAGGTCCCCGCCAAGGTATGTTATATGTACATGCAGAGAGAACTGTTATATATAATAACAAAATCAACTTCACAAGACAGTGTCAGTCCTCCCGGAGGTCCTTCTGCTCCAGATCGCATGTGTTCCTGATGGCCCGTGCGGAGAGGGGAGCCCAGCCTCACCTGGGACCTGCCCCTTCTCTGTTCTCTCCTCCATTTAGACCCAAGTTGTGCAGGAAGAGTAGGACCTGCCACCATGCGCGATTCTGGTTCTGTTGGCGCTGGAAGGGAAAAAGATCACCTTAACTCCTTATTTTCAATAAGAGTTTGGCTCTCTGTGCCTTTTGGCCAACGCTCCAATCCCACAGTCCAGCAAAGGGTGAGGACGGGAGACAGGGGATAAGGAGGCGATGGCTGGGTTCTCCCCACACAATTGAAGTTTTGGCATGAAAGAGAAAGGGCCAGGATCTGTGTGTACTATGCATGAGAGGATTAGACTTGTTCCCCGGCTCACAGGATTTTCCAGAGTTTAGCCTAGTGCTGCTTTTAATCAGATTGGCTCCCGATCCCCCCCCCCAGCTCCACTGCATGAACAACAAACTTGGTTGGGAGAAAAAGAAGTCTCCCCCCTCCCTCCCCACTCCAAAGTAACACAGAGAACACTAGGGGGAGGGGGGGAGCCTCCATCTGCAAGTGATTTGACACTGTGAAGGTCAAAGGGTTAATCTTCAATTTAAACGACACTGCTGAGGCAGCAAAAACTTGATTTCATCCAGTGCAAACACACACACACACACACACACACACACACACACACACACACTCACTCAAGCACCCACCCGCTCCCCCTTCTCAGCATCTCCAGCTCTGAGCTGCCCTTTTTATAGCTGCTCTTGACAGTAAGCCATAAATAACCCCTCTTGGAGCGCTTTCCTACTGACTGGAGCCAATTAAACGTTAAGCAAGAACATACTTGAAAACAAAACAAAAACAAAGAATGCACACCATGCTCCGGAGGTTATCCCAGGTTCTACTGCAGGTTGGGAACTGGGGGACAAAGTTCGGGGGTCAGCTGCTCCCAGGGTCGTGGCTGGTGTCTGGCCCACTCCAGGTACCATTTCCCAGAGGCCAGCAGAGGCCCGGAGGGGACAAGGGGGTGCTGAAGAGGCAGTCTTTGTTCTCGCCTTGTCTGCCAGGGGAGGAGGACTGGGCTGAGGCCTCCACAGGGCTCTCAGTGGACAGGGGAATAAAAACCTAATGTGCAGAAAGAGGCCAGCACAGGCTGGACTTGGATTCCTTCAGGGGCCCCCGTCAGCAGGCACATTTATGTGAGATGCCCCAGGGAACTGGGGCCCTCTATTAGTATTTCACTACATCCATCGGCCCCCACCAGGTGACTCTTAGTCCAGTGGACAAAGGATAAAGTCAGTGGGACAACTGGACAGACCCTGAGCACAGGTCTCCTGGACTCCAGAGTTGCCAGGGTCCATCCAACTCCAGCCTCCCTGACCTTTCCCCAGGAACCACTGGCTTTCCCTTGCCCCATCGTCAGCCACACAGAGAAGCAGTGTCCACCGAAGCTGACTCAGGGCCCTTCCAATCCAGCTGAGCGCACCACAGCCCCGTGCCCATGGCAAGAGGACAGCTCTCTGCACAGAGACTGGAAAACAAGCCAGCAGGCTTGAGGCCCAGCCCTACTAGGAGGGCAAGGAAGCCTAGTGTGCACTGAGCAGAGCGGGCCTGGCCCACAGCACTGCAGATTGATAGTTTCCTTGTGTTTTGTAAACAAGATGAGTAAAAAGAGGAAACACACCCAGCTTAACAAAATCTGGTTAGAGTAAAGCAGCGTGAAAATGGATTCAGCCTGCAGCAGCTGAGCAGAAGAGGGCTCCTCCTGTCTCCCCTCCCCAGCTGCTGGCCGGGACAGGTGCAAAGGTCATGTGGTGGAACAGAAGGAGAATGCAGCCAAAGATACAGCCCTGCAGGGGGCAGGCTGCTGGCACCCTGACTTCAGGTGCCTATCCAAAAAGGACAAGTGGCAACAGCAATAACAGTAACACGAGTGGGGCCAGGCTCCATGCTGCGTGCTTCTCATGGTTAAATCTAAAATGTTCCCTGAAATGCTCCTATGCTTAGAGGTGGAGCTTTTGGAATAGGTGGTGACAGGGAGCTAAATTCACGGGTGGATTAGTCCAGTCATGAATTGTGCAGAGCTGAATGTGTGATTCGGAGGTGGGGCTCGGGCAGACAAGGCACGTCACTAGCAATGTGACCTAAAGGACACACTGCCCTCCCTGGCTCCTCCCTTCTTTTTCTGCTTCCTGTCTGTCACAAGGACCTGTTCCTCTGCCTGTCCCCTCTGCCATCCTGTTTCTGCCTTGGAGCCAGTTGACCATGGACTAAAACTGCAAACCAAAATAAATCTCGCCTCCTTTAAATTGTAGGTGTCAGGTATTTTGTTCCAGCGATGAAAACGTAACCAAAATGTGCGTTATGTCCTGGCTTCTCAAAGGATGGTCCATGGGCTTGTGGAACCAGGGATTGAACTCTGGCCCTTGCACTTGCCAGACAAGAGCTTATTCTACTGAGCTATCTCCCTGGTCCCCTCCTATGTTCCTCTTAAACCCATGTTACCGTGCCCAGTACAGCTAACCAGAGAGGTCACTTAGCCACCCCACAGCTAGTGAGTAGCAGGGACTAGACTGAACCCAGACCATCTGGCCCTCGAGCAGTATCTGTGTCACTTTGATTCAAGTGACTCTATTCATCTCTCTTTGTACTAGAGCAAAGCCCCTTTCCTGCCCTCCATGAATCATCCCAAACATCTCAGTGGCTAAGGAAGAAAGGTTGCAATTCTGTGCTATGGGGCCTAGGCCAATGCCAGCACTGTGTCACAGTCTCTCCAAAATCCCACCTAACGCAGGGGACACTTCTTGGCCCAAGATCTGCTGCGAAGGCAAGGCAACACCTTTACCTTCTCATTTGGGAGATGTCCGGGGGCTCAGCAGCTGTGCACTTGCCACCAGACAAGAAAGTGGGAGGTTTGCAGAGAGTCCCAGAAGGTCCATGCGGCACTGGCCAGCCTTCAGGAAAAATCCTGTTCTGTGCTTCTGCCTGTTACTGTCACCAGGGCTCATGAACTGGAAGGAAGGTACTACAGGCAGTGGCTAGACTTTTAAAAAAGGAGTAAGAAGGCCTAGCTTTAGGCCATGTCTCTCCCCAACCTGTTTGTGCAAACTCACTTGATCTGGAAGGAAAATGCAGGTGCTGTATTAGCTCTTTAGCCTCTAAACCCGTCCACATTACAGCTAGTGGAAGTGCTGCTGTCAACTGTCCTAAGGCCCTCGCAGGCCAGCAGAGTCAGATGCTCCAGGGGAGGGGCCCAGAAATCTGTATATTAGATAAGCTCCCTGGGTAATATTTTAAAAAGCAGATGTAATATTTATGGTATACTATATTTTATTCTCAAAGCAATATGTGTTAATTGTAGAAAAATGGGAAAATTCAAGTAATGACAAAAGAGGGCCAACAAGATAACTCAGCGGACTAAGCGCCTGCTTAGGCAAGTGCAGGGAGCAGGGTTTGATCCCTGGCATCACATGCAGTGTCGGCCCTGCCCCTGCCTCCAGGTGCGCTGAGCTGGCCACAGAGTCCCGATGGGCATGGTGGCGCACGCTGGGGAGGCTGAAAACAGGAGGAGCATTATGAGTCCAAGCTGCATAGTGAGACCCTGCACCAAATACATTAAAAAATAATTAATTAATTAAATTTATAAAAAAACAAATGCCAGAAGAGAAGATAAAAATCACTCATGAGTGTTCTAAAAGAGAACACTTCACAGTCTGGTGTCTTCTTCAGTCTCTCTGAACCACAGTAATGCCCTGCCCTGGGGGCTGAGCCAGCGATAAATCCTGCCAGGTGGCACCATAGTAGCAGGCCACAGACTGCTTTTGGAAACCATTGAAGTGCTTTGGGAGCCCTGAGGACTTTGTTAGCACAATCACCCTCACAATTACAATGCAGAGTGCCAACAACTGCATACTGTCATCCAGCAGCCTCCCTGGCATAAGCAGAGCGGCACAAACACTACCTCAGCCTCTCCTGCTTTAGGACAGCCCCCAGAGGAAACCACGCTGCCTCAAACCAAGGGGACCAAAGAATGCCCTGATTCCAAAGGACAGCAATACATAAAATATTTCCTAAAAATTAAACAAAAGGGCCTGTCTAGAAAGGAAAGGAAAAGAACTCGAAGGGAGGCCAGAGAGAGAAACAGCAAAGAGGAAGGAAACCAGCCTTTACTGAACAGGATGAAGGACACAAAGACACCAAAACACCAGAGAGCTTGGGTCCTTTCAGAGGAGGGTGTGGAGGAGAAGGCAGAGAAGGGGGAACCAGGAAGAAGTGTGCCTGGCCTCTGACTCCTGACTCTCAGCCCCTGGCACAGTGCCCAGCACACAGTCTAAGATCAAGGAGGGCAAACCCTAAGGGCAAGGCCTAGATCTCCCAGACCAGCATGGGCGCCACTCACAGAAAAGGAGTACCCAGAATGTACAAGGAGGGGGCTGGGGACAAGGAACGGAACACTCACTGTAGATGCTTCAAATTCACAGGGCCTAGGACGAGAGCAACTTTTTATTAAAGAAAAAAGAATATGGGAAGGTAGGAGCCCTAGAATGGAGGGTCAAAGTGTCTTCTTAAGGGAGAGTATGAATTAGGGTCTCAGAGAGACTGACAGATATTCTGTGGCTCCACCTTACTTTCCTGACATGGTCAGGGGAGGTAGGCGCTGGTGGATACTCAGTTACTCCTCCTTCATTGTGAGGAATGTGTAAAGAACACAGTAGGTGCTTAATAAGTGTGTGTTGGAGTGACTACTGATAACCCAACTGTCTGAGGTCAGGAACAACTGATGCCTGGCCAGGTTGAAAAATGTCCTTTATGTGACAGCCTGGGCCTCTCACCTGGGAGAGGCCAACTAGTGAAAGGCTTGAAAAAAAAAATGAATACAAAGCTGGCTGCAATATCAACAAGGTTGAATTACACAGATCTAACTCTGTTTTGTCCCATGAGGCCTCTGTAATCAGCACAAGTGTGTTCTCCATGCTGCCTGGATAAGGATCTCCCTTGGCCTGACTCTATCCAGACTCCACTCACGCCCTCTGGGGGCTCTGTACTTCGCCCCGTGCTCCAGGCGCTGCAGCAGGGCTGAGTGACCCAGAGAATCTGAACAACACACAGAGCTGTGCTGCACAAGGCTCCAGGAGGCCTTAACACACAAAGT